GGCGTAGATCCCCAGCCTCACCAAGGCCATCAGAGCAGGGCAAAGACCCCCACGGTCAGCAGTGGTGCCCGCGGTGAAGCTGTGGCCCTGGCTCTCCCTCCCTCTCGTGCTTGCTCCCAGCGTTCCAGGAGCTCCAGCTGGATTCGGACCCCGGCGTGCGGCACGCCGCCCTGGAGACCTTGAAGGTGCTGGACAACTGCAGTCAGCACGGGCTTCTAGCTTCCCCCGGAAGCACTTCCTAGGGTCCACGTGCAACTGCCACGCCACCAGGGCCACCTGGCCCTTCCAGCGAGTCTGTAAGGAAAACCACCTCTCGCTCTGAGACAAGCAGGGTCTCTCTGTCCCTCCTCCCTCAGGAATGGCTCCCGCCACCATCCAGTGTCCCCAGGGCCGAAGGAGGGAGGCCCGTCCCCTGGGGCCATCCTGTTTTGCCTTTTCCCTTCTAAGGACCTGAGATATCCTCCCCCACCTCCCCAGCCCCTCCGCCACCCCACCCCACCACCACACACACCAATGTGTGCCTGGGTCCTCGCCACCCAGCTGGGCTGCCCTTTCCCCTGGAAAGGAAGGGCAGACTTCCAGCCCACAGTCACGGCACGCACACAGAGGATGGGCAGGAGTCTCCAGGCTGGGGTGATACGGGGCCAGAACTATGGAACCGTGTTTGGACGGCTGGACCAGACCCTGGCGAGGCCTGGGACAAGATCCCGCCGAGGAACTCCACCCCTGTGCTCGTCCACGGACCTGGAGGGGAGCGTGGGCGGGAGATGTGCCTCAAGGTGAGGTCCCCAAGGCAGGTGACTGGGACTTGTGGCTGGAGCCAGTGACTGTGGGCTGGGCACCCAGGCAACAAACAGCAGGACGCTCCTCTGCCCAGTGCCCAGGACAGTGCTGTGCTGGGTGGGGTGTCTGTCCATCTGCATCCTGGAAGGACAGCTGCCCATTTGTGGAGACACCCATACCCACCACACCTGAGGGCAAAAGGTGGGTGGGTGGGAAGTTACACAGTCACACTCAAAGGACAGAGATTTAAGAACGTTCAAAGAGGGCAGGAAAGAGGAGGTTTCTTGAAGCACCAGAAACCGGAAGGAAAAAAAAAAAGAGGATTAAAATGTCCAAAGTGTACCCTATGGGCAATAAAACACTACCGAGAAATGGCCGAGCATTGATGGGGGAGAGGTTATTTGTGATATACGCAAGACTGAACTGGTTCCCAACACAGACACCGAGAGAAAGACAGGTGCGGGCTCCCTCTGGGTCCCTGGTGGGCACACGCCTCCCGCCCACCACGCTGGCAACCCTGGTGATGCCCGGCAACACCCCCATTGCTGAGTGGACCGCGCCCGCAGAGGGGCTTGGGGAGCACTCAGACAGTATCTGGGGACGCTGACCGCACACCTGGTCCAATAACTCCCTCCTCTAGGGTTTGCCCCAAGGAGCCCTGGTGGGCGTAGTGGTTACACATCGGACTGCAAACTGCAAGGTCAGCAGTTTGAAACCTCCGGCTGCAAGTCCAGAGAAAGACGGGGCTTTCTACTCGCAGAGAGTCAGTCTGGGACACCCACAGGGGCAGTTCCACCGGCCCTGTGGGGTCTCTGTGAGTCAGCATGGACTCGATGGCAGTGAATGTTAGCAGTGTGCACACGGGTCTCGGCTAGGAGACGGGAGAACTGATTTCAGCTCCCTATCGCTTCCAGCCTCCGCCTCCCTGTTTTGCGGACAGCAGACCCTCGCTCAGCATCCCATTCCGTGCGCACGTGGCTTTAGGCTGCGTGTCTCACAAGAGTGGGACGCAGATCCTTCCGCTGGGACGGGCTCCCATGGAGTGTGTCCTAAGGGATCACCATGGGCTCGATGGCTGCGAGTCATCTGACACACGTGTGCAGGTCCTGGGCTTCCACATGCTTAGCACCTGCTCCAAGAACGGGGAATGGGCCTGGAGTCCACGGTTCACCCAGGGGCTGTCCATCGGGAAGTTAGTGGTTCGAAACCAGCATTTCCTCCGGAGAAAGGGCTTTCTAATCCTAGTCTCAGAAACTCACAGGGGCAGTTCTACCCTGTCCCCTGGGGTCGCTGAGTCAGTCCTGACATGATGGCAGTGGGGTTTGAGGGATCTAGGTGAAACCCCAAACTACACCCTCTCCTACTGAGCAGATTCAGGCTCACAGGGACTCGCGGGACAGAACTGCCTACAGGGTTTCCCAAGTCATCTTGATGGAGGGTCTGTTGGGGTTTGAACTGCTGACCTTTTGGTAAGCAGCCGATTGCTTTGAGCACTAGGCCCCCGGGGTTCCTGACACAAAGATGAACCCCAAACCCAAAGCACCACCTCCGTGGTCTCTGATGCTGACCCAGTGGCCACGTAGGGCGGCACAGACTGCCCCTCCAATGCCCACCCTTGTGTGACTGGGCTCCTCTGGAAGCCACGCAGCTGCCTGGCCCTGCAGGCTCCGGCTCCTCCACCCCGGAGGATTCTGTGGAAATGCCAACTTTTTAAAGGACGTGTGAATTGGAAAGTGTCAAAACATTTTAGACAAGTAGCTTTATTTATTTACTCAAGAGCTCAGAGCCCCCACGGACATGATAGACATTGGCTTTGGGGGCAGATGGTGTCCCGCAGCGTCTCCCATTGAGAACTGAGACCCCCGCCCCACCCCACCCCTACAAAAAGCCAGAGAGCAAGGGGACCCGGCACTCCAAAACGCCCAGGGGACAGGCTTTTCCTTTGTTAAGAGCCGAGGTCTGCAAATGAGCACTTTTCTCATCCATCCTGGGTGGTTCTTTCCTGGTGAGGGGAAGACGGGAAAAGCATAGAAAACGATTAGTCAAATTCCTTCAGACGGCGGCCCCTTCTTAGCTTTCTAACGCTGCCTGTCCCTGGCTGTAGAGTCCGTGCTGAGAACGGCACGCACTGGGTGGGTGCCCAGTGAAACCCGAGAATGTGCTCAGAGCGAGCAGCACGTGGGTGGTGATGCCAGGGCTCTGATCCCGGGCAGCCCAGACTTGCTGGGAGGTTCCTAGTTGATGGAAGTCACCTGAACCATGTTCAGGTGCAGATGGAGAAGGTCTGGCATGTCCCCTCCCACCCGCCCCCAGGAGGCCCTCCAATGCCCAACGAAAACCACACAGTGCCACCTGCAGGGGAGGGGACTGCAGCGGGGCTTCTGAGGCTGTGCACTGCAGCAGCCCAGGGGCCTGGCCACCCACCTCAGCTAGTGCTTAACCGCAAAGAACGGCCAGGAAGCTCTCCCGTGGTTACAGGGGTCGGCACGCCAGGAGGCTGCTGGGGGTCTAACAGTGGGGTTTCTGGTGAGCAGGAGGGAATGCAGACAGGGCCACTCATTGTTGGAGGCCGACAAGGAGCAGGGCCAGTGATGTCCACCACAGTGGGCACTTTCTGGAAGGAGTGGTTATTTGACATCTATGGCACTGTGGCACATTTCTAGCCCAAGTACCCTGAACTTTTCTGGAAGGTTTTCTGAGAGTGAGTCATGGGTGTGGGAGCTGGGAAGAGCCCGGCGAGCAAAGCACCGGGAAGGGACGGAGAACCGGGGTCGCCGAGGTGCAGGCACTGACCGTGGGGCCTGGGGCGGCGGATGTATAGGGATGCCGGGAGTCACTATTTTCAGACCAGTTTTGATGAAGAGGTTAGTAACGCACCCACTCTTCACTTACTGACATGGTTGTGAGAGTCGGGGACCGTGTTCTGTCTTTGGTGTTGGGGGCCCACTTGTTCTGTCCAGTCGCCATGTGACCTCCATCTGTCTCGCTCCCTTGTGCCTCCTCCACTTCCTCCCCGGTCCCTCTGGGCCCTCACCTGGCCTCCCCGACCACCTGTGCCCTCCAAGGCTGAACGGAGTGATTGTGGCTAAGTGCAAGGCGGCGTGCGGAGGCCCTGTGCCACCTGTCATGGCCTAGAGCACCAC